TTACATTCAGTACATTCAGCCTTAAAGCACTGAATGGGTCAGATGAGAAGTCAAATGTTCCCTGATTTTTAGTTGTGGTGAACAATTGTAAATTGTGTAGTAGTTTATTTGTTATGGATACATCAGGATCCCACATTTGTTTCTTTTCTGATGATTTATGTATGCATTTTACATCGTCACAGGATCAAATGTCTGTGTACAGTCATGGCCAAAAGTTTTGGCAGTGACATAAATTTTGTGTTTTGCAAAGTTTGCTGCTTCAGTATTTGTAGATTATTTTTCCACATGTTTCTATGGTATACTGAAAAACAATGATAAGCATATCATACGTTTTAAAGGCTTTTATTGGCAAAAAAAATATAATGAGTCAATATTTACAGTGTTGACCCTTGTTCTTCATAACCTCTGCAATTCACTCTGACATGCTGGATATTAGCTTCTGGGCCAAATCCTGACTGATGGCGATCCATTCTTGCCTTTTTAGTTCTCGGAGTTGATCACAATTTGTGGGCTTCTGCTGGTCCACTCGCCTTTTGAGGACTGACCACAGGTTATCTATGAGATCCGGGGAGTTGCCTGGCCACGGATCCAAAATTTCTATGTAACGATCTTCGAGCCACTTCTTTATCACTTTTGCTTTGTGGCATGGTGCGCCATCATGCTGGAAAATGCACCAGATTGCTCATGGATCGTTGGAAGATGTTGCTCTTGCAGGACGTTTTGATACCATTCTTTATTCATGGCAATGTTTTTGGGCAGAATTATGAGAGCCCACTCCCTTGGTTGAAAAGCAACCCCACACATGAATGGTCTCCGGATGCTTCACTGTTGGCACAACACAGGACTCATGGTAGCATTCACCTTTTCTTCTCCGAACAATCGATTTTCCAGATGTCCCAAACAGTCGGAAGGGAGCTTCATCAGAGAAAATAACTTTGTACCAGTCTTCTGCCGCCCAATCCTTGTACTTTCTGCAGAACTTCAGTCTGTCCTTGATGTTTTTCTTGGAGAGAAGTGGCTTCTTTGCTGCCCCTCTTGACAGCAGGCCATTGTCTAGACGTCTTGACCTCACTGTGCGTGCAGATGCTCTCACACCAACCTGCTGCCATTCCTGAGCAAGCTCTGCACTGCTGGGGACACGATTCTGTAGCCGACTCCTCAGGAGGAGACAGTCCTGGTGCTTGCTGGACACTCTGGGACGTCCTGAAAACTGCGATGATGGCTGCACGTGTTTCTTTGGAAGTAACCATTGCTAACAAAAACACAATGATCAGGGGTGTTTCTTCCCTCCTTTTATAGTAATCAGTCTGCTCTTACAATCTAATCAGTATGATAGTGATTTCACCTGACTAGTACTCATTCACACTTTCACATGTGCTGCTGATATGATTAGTCAATTAATGTTAGCTGGCCATTTTGTGTCAGGATCAAAAAACAGTGACATTTGTTTAGTTTTTTTTTGTGAGAAGTTAATTTTTTGGCAAAAGAAGCTTTTAGCACTTATTTAAAATGCATCTGATCACTCTACACAATAATCTAGAAACAATGTGAATGAACACCACAACAGCTTAAGCAGCAAACTTTGCAAAACACAAAATGTATGTCACTGCCAAAACTTTTGGCCATGACTGTAATATATGGACAATATATGGACACATGCAATATAGGTGAAGACAACTGCACATAAGGTGGAACAGGCTTTATTTGGCATTTCATAATACAGTATGTTGTGTGTCAATACAATATATTTTAACACAACATTATACACAGTGATACATATTATGATTATTACTGATATCTGGTGTTGAATATAAGTTTAAGTTTATCCAGTGGTTTGGCTTTATTGACAAAATGATGTGGGGGGAAAGGTGTCAATTTCATTCAGGAGCTTGAAGGGTATTCAAAATGTTTTAAAAACAATATAAAGCATTAATAAATTGTCAGACTTGATACTTGACAGAAAAACATTTTAAGACACTTTAATATCGTGGCTATCACCCACTGGGACTGTTAATGCACACTTACACCTTGTTCATCTCATAATCTGCCAGCTTTATGATTTATGCCAATACTGTATACAAACACAAATTGCACATTAGTCCGCCCAGTATAAAGATTTTAAGTTAATCAAAAATGTGCACGTTTCGTAATTAGAGGAAGCTGATTTTTTTTTAATTTTTTTTTTTTTTTATCCATTAAATAAAAACGCAAAACCAACAAAAGAACAAGAACAAACTAGTAAAATAATCTGTAATGCAAGACTCTTTTAAATCAACAAGCTTGCCTGGTAATTTTATTAAATTTATGTGTAAGATTTAATTAATGTCTGACCTCAGACAGAATGAAAACCTCCTCAAAGGGAGATTTTGCTCACTTCTGGGTACAAATTAGTAATGCTGTGCTGACGTCCTTCAAAAGAACTGACGGACCCGACGCATTAACAAAATCTCTGAAAGCAATCCATGAACATTAAGCGTGTCTGTGAGTCTCGTTTTGACATTTATGTTTTTATCCTACCTTTATATATTGTTTTAATTCCTGGCGTCATACCAGAACCAGTAATAATTTGCATACGATTTCGCGATGTTTCGCATTAGATCAGATTTCACAGGCCGCGTATAGCCTACCCGTAGTGATGCCGCACTTGTTTGTTTGGGATAACAACACGTGGCGTCATGCAGTTCACGGATGCCTGTCTGAAAATCATCCTACACTTGGATGTTGGATAGTATTCGCACTGATAGGCTACTTGCGCATTACTAACGTTCAAATGACTTGATGCTTTGTTCTCAAAACAAGGCCAATTGCTGTTTTAACGAAGCATCCCACCCGCGGCTATAGTTTGGTTTGGCGCACCATATTTTTCCTTCAGTTTTTGTGCAACGCCGGTAAGCGTTTTTATTATTTTGTTTCATTCAGTTTTGTTTCTAAGCATGCTTAAAGCTAAAGCGTACACCGCTACTGCACCAATGAGTGTTGCAGGACACCTGTTTACCCAGTTAAAAACCAGGAACGAGGTAAAATCATAGGACCAACACCATCCCGACCTTGTGTCATCTGAGTTTACAGGTTCTTTTGTTTTCTCACACAAGGTTTTCATTTACATGCTAAAAAATTAGAAATTTGATGGCTGAGCAGATTGGGAGGGTTGTAAGACTTACAAATGTACTTCAGGACTCTCAAAAGTGTGCACAACATGAGATGAAATACTTTATAGACATAATTGGAATAAACTGTGGAAAAAAACTCTGACACTAGTCAGGGGCTATGAATTTGCTCTTTTGAATTGAAATGCATTCTATATGTTTAACATTTTGAATTAAAGTGGTGATGGAATAATAATGATTTTAAAGTAGTAAATGTGCGTACCACAATTAATGTATGCACACAATTTATTTCAAATACAAACCACCCTGGTACTGGATTAGAACTAGTACATAGTTATTTGACATTAGAAATTAAACTACATTAATTAGCAGATAAATATAAAAATTTTATATGTGAGACATTCAGAGCAAAAATACAATTACAGATTAAAAAAACAACCTTGTGTGGGCCTATACATATGCCTTTCAATACCCAGATGTCTTCTTTTTTTTTTTTTTAACAGCTCTACCTTATATACTACTCATCCTGTGACTTCACACTTTTGTGCACTCAGCTAAATGTTTTTTACTGTAGCAGTTATTTTCACTTTCAGCAGATATTATATTTTGAGACGCCAGAATATTCTAGCCATGACAGTTAAAACACATATCCTGTGTTTGCACCATTTTGTGTCTCTGCATGTCTAGAACAAATATAAAGTACTTGCAAGTTACAGCACAATATGATGCATGACCCTCAGAAATTTAATGGGTTGTTTATAATTTCTCATTTTATTGGATGATTATTGTTATTGTATGCTGATTCTTGCATTAAAGAGATAATTAAACAGCTAATTTTAGAGCATATTTGTTGTCATTAAAGGAACAGTAGCTTGGAAATGTCTGCCATCAGAAATGATGATAAAGAGGCACTTCATATTGTTATTAAACAACGATTAAACACTGGTTGGATTCAAATCCATACGTATATACCTGTTGATCAGTGTACCTTAAAATATATTTTAAATTCCACAGCTAAAGCTCATTACAGCTTTTTTATTATTGCTAGAAACAGGTGTCCTATTTGGAAACACATTGACACCATTGGAAGGGTGTCCTTTTTAACTCTGTGCCAGCATATGCAATAGATGGCTCATATTTCATTACCCTATTTTAATACATTTGGTTCATTCTAACCTTTAATTAATTATTTAAAGCTTTATTTTAATAAAAAGTCCCCCATGGATAGCTTGCACCAGTTGTAACCAATGGCAGAGCTTGGCAGCTGGCCTGTTTGGAGCCTGTCTGCGCCCTCAGCTGCCTCCAGACGTGACAGTCGGCTCTCTGTATAGACTATCTGACTGTTGGAAGCCTGAAATATTTGAATGTCATTGGGGGAGGTCATCTGTGGCTTGAGGAGGGGGCAGGTCAGTAGGGGTTCATATATGCTTCTGCAATGTAGCAAGTGGAGACTTGCATTATATGGTGGCCAAAGGGCCCTTTTTGAGGCTCCAGGGCCATCTGTACACCAATTTAAATGGTATAGTCCAATTTGAACACCCCTCCATATTGAGCTAAAATGGAAGTGCCTCTTTTGCAGTGTTTGCTGGGAAGAAGAAGTACAGTCGGGATTGGGACTTTGGAGAGGAGGTAGCAATCTGAAGAGGTAAGAGGAACTGTGTTCTCCAATGGCCAGGCCATTAATGGATGGATGGGCTCATTGGGATGTACATTGGCCATGATGCATGCAATATATGGATTTTTACAGGTCTTGGCATGGTGTCTGTATAGGGTGAGAATAGATATCATGGTTAGCATGAACAAGGAAATATGGAGGGAGCTGCTAGGGGGAGCTATAACAGGGCAGACAGCAGCTGGCTGAAGTGAGCTGCTCCAAATGTGCGTCAGACTCTTTAAAATACTCACATTGGTTGGGAAAACACAGGAAGATGTTGTATTGTTGTGCTTTAGCTTGATAAAGATGGTCTGCAATTGTTGTGTCTTTATCCCTTGGCTGCCTGTCCAAGGGAAGTGGCCAATTTGACTGTAGAAAAGAAAGAGAGGACGCATGTTAATGATGGTGTTTGATGAATAAAACACACTTAAATGTGCTAAAAGCATGTAAATCATAGATATTATTGTGTATTTGTGTGATTTTGCAAGATAATTTTGACAAATTAGCTTCTCTGAGTGAACCGTTTGAGAGCTTTAAAGATGGCCGCTCCTTAGAGTAGTGAATGCTGTTGGGATGGGTTACTTCCTGACTCACTCGACACTCATGTTAGTTGGACAATCTCTGTGTTCAAGCATATAAATCCGTTTTCAAATAAAACTGCAGGAAAAATAATCATCTTTACAGTTAAGTAATTAATAATCAAAGTTATGGTTAGTATTGCTAACTAAAAGGAACCTTTAGGAGATCAGATTCTGGTCTGAACTGAGTGAGTGTGGAGTGTAAACACTGTAACTGAACTGTTTTTTTTTTAGTTAAGGGACTAGTTAATTGCATAGTTTGGACTAGTCTCTGATTAGTCACTTTAGAGGGCCCTTGTTTAGTTTTTGACATGGACTAGGTAAAGCACAGCACAGATTTTGATTATCATCCATATAAAACTATATAGACTATAAAACTATAACACAATTTTGCTGTTAGACTGGCATTGGTGCAGATGACCTATCAGTTATTATCATATTAATCAATAATGATTCATCTTTTGATTTTTTATGTCTCATATGTCCATGAAAATGGAGGGAAGTTGAATTATATTTAAATGAGTAATTTAGTTAATATAAATGAACCTAATGATTTTTTTTTTTTACATAAGATAAGGCATACAGATAAACTAAAGGGTTAAATACTGACAGAATGGAACAATGGAGGATGTAGGTGCAATTTTTATTCATATTATTTATTCATATTATTTTATATTTTTATTCATATCCTAAAACCATCCAACATTTAAAGGGTTAAATTTTAGTCCTCTTGGGGGCATCAGAGTAAATGACACCCTTTCATTTTGTCACTGTCTGCCGTTTTTATCAGAAATCTTCAAATGTAAATTACTGCCCCTTCTGGATGGATCAGGAACGAGGGTCTGTGTCTCTAATGGGAAAATGAGAACGGTAAACGTGCACTCATTCTCTCATTTAGAGTTGCAGCTTTTTTCTTTTGCTTAATAAGTTGTTCCTCTAAGCTCGCAGTACAGTCCTATCATAGCCAACAGTTGGACACTCGATGAGTTTTAACCCCTAAAGGCAACTGCATTATAGCTACTATCACATCACAAGACATAATTGTTCTGTGAACTTTAATTCACACCCTGTTCTCTCAAACTAGGATTACTAGAACAGAACTACTACTAAATTTTCTCCCATGCACAAGTGTAAATGTTAAACGCCCCTGGTTGAGGATAATTGTTCAAGTGAGTGCATGCATTTGCCAAAGCTTCATAAAGCAGTCTGCTGGCCTGTTAAAAAAGTGCTTTTCTTAGTTTGAACATAAATTAACTTTTATATGTTTATAGCTACTGTACTATAGCCATACTTCTGCTATAGTATTCCTGTGAAGTCATATTATTTATTGAGCCATAATGTACTTTGACATCAAAAAACATTGATAACATGTGGATGTGTCACTATTTAATTGCTTTAAGAAGTTGTAGTTCAGACATTTATTTGCCATGCCAATATTCTCATCTAAAAAAAATAAAACAAAAGAAATTTTATAACCATGTTTATGCTTCTTCAGAGTTATAATGCCATAATATTGGCTTTCGAAGTCATATTCTTTAAGCCATGAAGTGATATAAAAACTTTGATAACCTGATAAATTGATACTATATCTTGCTCATTTCTTCATTTTCGCTGTCTCATCCCATATTTTACATGTTTTTACAATCTCACAAAAAAAAGATCTTTTAACAGATATTTTAACATTAAATGTTCGTTTTGTTCACATTTTAAGTAGTAATCAGTGTCAGTGGAACCCTTTTGTCACAGTCTTGATTTTTTATTTTCTTTCAAAAATCTAAAAATGAAAATTACTGCCCCCTCTGGATGAATCAGGAAAAAAAAACTTTTGGGTAGATGTCTATAGACATAGTCAAAATTGTGAGGTAATGAAGCTGAAGTTGCTGAGAGGTGGAAATGGGGCTTCCGGTTTCCGTTATAGCCCGTTGCTTCTCTGAAAGTGCTTTTTGAGTTTTAACAAAAATTAACTAGAACTAATATATTTTAATGACCATACTGTTTAGCTTCTGATTATGCCATAATATTCCGATGAAAAGTCATATAATTTAACAAGCCAGAATGTACTTTGACATCAAAAAACATAGATAATTTGTTGATGTGTCACTGCTTAAACCTAAGATATATTGCGTCATCAAAAATTATTGAGGTCATGTACATATATTGCGCGATAAGTCGATATATTGATTATTGCGACAGGCCTACAGATAACTGACCTGAAGCTTTCTGAATATGCTGTGCTAGAAGTCTTTGAATTTACTAAAAGTTCTTTCCTTTTTTTTCAGGTCCTTGGAAAAAAAGAAAACAAGATCTCCATTTGGGACATCCAGTTTTTCTCACTGCAACGTAAGAGTTCATTTTCCTGTCTTAAGTGGTTAAAGGCGACACTCATTCTTTGTTAAACAAAGAGAAAATGTGACCTTTTCCTCCAAGCATACAATGCACATTATTTTGTTACCTATTGAATGAAATCTGCCGGCACTCTATTTACAAACGATCCCACACAAAGCCCAGCTCACAGCACGCATCTGTCATGAACTTGACTCTCTTACAGCTGTTCAAATGGCAGCTGACATGCACAGTTGCCCGACAGCCTCTCCTTTCACCATATATTCATCCTTTGTTTATGCTTCAGTGGGTTTTTCTCACTTAACCAGAAAAGCCACAACAAGACATACCTGCTTCCTAAATTTTTACACACTCACCACCTCATTCATGAAGCACGAGTGGAATGAATAGAACCTTTTTATGTAATTACTGCATTTAATTGACTGTAAGAATAGTTTTACTATCTATACACAGTGTGTTTGATGTCTGAGGCCTATAAACTATTTTTTCCCACATACACACGTACTATATTTTTTTTGACTCATGCATTAATATTAGACTAGTCAAAGTCAGAATTTCCTCTTTTTTACACAGACAACCCAAATGATCTCTAATTTACTCATCTGCTCCCCCTAGTTATTCATTCTTGTCTACAAGTGACTAGATCCATAACTGAACTTGGTAGAACGCATTGCAGCCATTTTCCATGCAGGGTGTTTGTGTGTGTTCTTCAGAAAGGGGATTGCGGAAAAGCAGCATACTTTTTTTTTCTCTTCTAAACCAATCAGCATTGCTGTGGTATGAGTCACTCCCACACCCTACCCTTATATGGCAAAGAGGGGGAGGGGCTGTTTCTCAGACCGGACAGTGAAATGGTGGCTGCTTGTACAAAAACAGCAGCAGCACCATTAGGAACCGAGCAGCTACAGACACATTTACAGGTAAGACCCGTAGCTTAGAACATTCTCCTGCTTCTAGGTTCTACTAAACATGCATCCTGTGACATGAAAATAAAATGATATTGCTGCTTCATGTATCTGAACGATGCTGTTTGTCTAACCTCCCTCTTGAGCTAATTGTGTTAGCCTGTTTACAAGCCATCCTGCCATTCATTCAGCCTAGAAACCTATTTTACCAAACCGACATAGAAAAACTGAATGTTATAGTAAAAAACTCTTTTAGTTGCTTTTAGAAAATCTTTTCATTTACAGTAAAGGAAAACTTGAGTATGACATCATTCATTATGCCATGTGGTTTAATGGGTATGTCAAGCACAAAGTGCTTATCAACTGCATTGTTTTAGTTGTAGAATTACAAGTTTTGTTTGTTTTCCTGTGCAAACCGGTTATTGATTACAATTAAATAATGTGTGAATTTGAGTCCGTACTTCCTGTGAACTTCCATTCTGAAAGCACAAAGACCTATAGATAAACTGAATGTTGGTATATAGGTTTAGATCTTTTATGGTATATAACTTTGTATAGTTTAAAAGTTCATATTTTTGTTACTTATTAGGTAAAAAGATCAAGTTGAAAACTACCACCCCAGACACCGCAGATTCAGAACTGGACAGCAACCTTTTACGGTCAAAGAAAGAGAAAATATAATCCTATTAGAAAACCTACCACTGTCTTTTAAGGTAGAATTGAATGGTCATTAAACCTCACAAGTAAGCAATTTAGGAAACTCTACATAGGCTACTCAAATAAAAGTTCTAGAGAATTGACTCGCAAATGATTCCAATACCGACTGATGTTGCTCAGCTAACAGCATGATACACTAATATGCATATACAATACGAAATGTGCACAAATACGAAGTAAAATAATCTGTTTGAATTGCACTGAACTATTTTATAATTGAATGAAATGAACGTTTACATCAAAATTTAAATGCATAAGTTTATACTCAATATAATATCAGTATAAATGTATACTCAAACAGAGAAGGCAATTCCACAATGCATTACTCTTATTAGACACTGCAAGTTCAGTGTCAAAATAGTGAATTGTCACATTGTGGAATTGCTCTCTCTGTAATGTCTACACACAATGCTGAAGGCTACAGCTTTCGCCATTTTTGCCGAAAAGACTTGCATTGTTAAAAAATAAATAAATAAATAAATAGAGGTTATTGCAGTACATTTGACAAGAAAATACTATTTTAGTATGTTTAATTTAATGTGTTACTGCCCTTTATTTGTGAAATGTACTAGCAATTTCTAAATTAAAATTAGTTTCAAAGCCATTTTTTGGTGTATATTTAAAATCAAATGTCCAAGGAAGCATGCCAGTTTCAAACTTGATTGTTGTTCAGGAAGCGTTGAAGTATTATTATGGTCTGTGCTGTTTTGATATGAATCATTAAAAACAAGTTTTCCTTTCATTTCAGAATCAGCCAAGACTGAAAGCCTAGAAGAACCAAAGATTCAGACCCATCTATGGCAGAAAAACAGCAGATCAAAGTGACAGCGGCCAAAGTGCTGTGCTATGTGGAGAAAATCTCCTCCTTCGCCTCCAACATAAATCCTCTCTTTGGGATTGTGACTTCAGTGGTCGGGGTGGTCAGGAAAGGCCTCGTGGATAAGGAGGACCATGAGATGGAAAAGGACTTCAAACAGATCCATGAGAAGCTGGAAACCATCTCGGAGAAGAACAAGCAGACCCTGCGACAAATCCGCATCGACGAAATCAATGAGAATTTCGGTAAGCACGAGGAAGTCATCAAACATCAGTACAACGCTTTCAACACCATGGTGGAAAGAGTAAAAGTGGATTCTGAGAACTCGGATCGTCACATGAAGGAGTTTGTGAAGATCTACGAGAATGATAAGATGGATCTGAGCTTAGATACGTATTACCGCGGAGTGAAGGGTGCCGCTCTGTTTGGGAAGCCCATGCTGCAGGTTTACCTGGAGAACTGCCAAAGAAACAAAAAGGTGATGGAGGCCCGCTGCTCTCACATCGCCCACCTGTTCTACATCGGTCTAATGGCGCTGATGGCCTACTACGCCGTCAGTGAAGATGATGAGGATGAAGTGAGAGACAAATGGGGCCCGAGGGTCATTGAAATTCAAGCCAAGATGCAAGAAGTTCTGGACCAATGCACTGAGGAAAACTGAAGTGGGAACATTGCACTGAACGATTCATTTCATACACTGAAAGTTTAAATGTTGTAAGCAGTCTTGAATTAGGAAGTTTAAATAAATCGTGTGGGGTGTAAAATGGGTGAATCTTTTCCTGCTTGCCAATGGACTTTTCAATGCAATACTAAAGTAGTGCAAGGTTCTTAACACTGTATATCGCAGTTAAATTTTTTAAAAGTATGTTAAGCATGTTTTGGACTGAATATATTGTAAAAAAAAAAAATTCCAATATCATATGAGCCTTTGATGTGAGTTACACGAGTTATTATGAATTATTATATAATTGTTTGCTTATGTTTTGTGGAACATCTCTGATTCTTTGCACAATAAATGAATCTATTTTTTCTCTCATATCATGGCAGTTAGTCTCTTTATTTGTCATTTTATATGGCCAAATGTGATTTCTGCCAAGTCAAATCATGATGCGAACACACTAAAGACTGAGTGCAGAATGCAGGTGAATATGGAAATTGCATTGATTTGCATTAAATGCAAACTTGTCAATGTTTCAGAGGCAGAATGCTTCATCAGTCTAATCTGACAAAAAAAAAAAACATTTAAGAAAAATTCCAGGTTCAGTACAAGTTGAACTCAATTAGCAACATTTATGGCATGGGGAAGTTGTGGCCTAATGGTTAGAGAGTCGGACTCGTAACCCAAAGGTTGCGGGTTTGAGTCTCGTACCGGCAGGGATTGTAGGTGGGGGGAGTGAATGTACAGTGCTCTCTTCCACCTTCAATACCACGACTGAGGTGCCCTTGAGCAACTCAAGTTGGGTGCCCAACTGCTCCCTGGGCCCACTGCTCCAGGTGTGTGTTCACGGTGTGTGTGTTCACTGCTGTGTGTGTGCACTTTGGATGGGTTAAATGCAGAGCACTAATTCCAAGTATGGGTCACCATACTTGGCCACATATCACATCACGTCACATAATGCTGATTACAATTTCCACTTCTTTCTTTCTGGGTTACATTGAGGCATTTGCTGTACAATGGAAGTGTATGAGGCCAATCCTTAGACATTTAATACTCACTGTTTAGACAGTAAAAACTCACTGTTTTACAAGTACAGCCACAAGACTTAACAACATGCATGTTAGCATGATTTTAGTGTAAAAAATCACTATTTTTTATATTATGTTATATCCATTTTTTTACAACTTAGTCATCATGACAACATAATGCCTAAAAAAATCTAAATATATAACTTCAACAGATTTACAACTCAAATAATATGCACATTTTAACAGAATTAATGTGAGAGTTAAATAAAAAAAACTTGACATTTTTGCTTTTAAACACTTCAAACATGGACCTAATTTACCTCATAAGTGCTTGACTGTAACCTCGTTTTTTGCTTTTTAAGAAAAGGAGGAACAAAATTATTCTTGTAATAATCAACATTATGCCACAAATGCTAATTGAGCTTAACCTGTATTGAATCTTTGTATCATTTAGATACTACTATAGTTTTTTTATTAATAATTTAATAATATTATTGTTTTATTAATATTAATTTTAGTTTTATTAATATTTTGATTCAGTTTTTATTTTTATATTTTCAGTTTTCCAATTATATATATATATATATAATGTTTATTTTATTTCAAGTACGTAATTCTTTTTTTTTTGATGGTTTTAGATTTTGTTTAATTTGTAGTTAACTATAATAGCCCTGACTGACCCCGGAATATTCTTGTAACAGTAGTGCATGGCAAATACATATTTTTGATGGAAATTCTGTTTAACTTTAAGATTGTGATCTGTTTCCTTCTTCAGGTGAACTAACAGTTAAGACTGTCCTACAATCTTCCTCCGGACACAATGGCTGACAATGAGATATTTGATGACCCAGAGAAGCTGAAGAGGGGTCTAGTGAAGGTTCTAGAATGTGTGGCCACCATCTCGTCTGCAGCAGCGGTGGTCAATCCCATCTTCGGTGTGGCTGGTTCTCTCATCCGGGTGGTGCTGCACCACGTGGACGATGAAGACATTCAGAAACTCAAACGTGAGTTTGGCAGCGTGAATCGAGCCCTTGACGAAATCTCGCAGCAGAACCATCAAGCCCTGCTGCAAATCAAGAAGGAAACGGTGGACAAACAGTACCACGAGGTGGAAGAAAACATTCGCAATCAGTTCCGCAAATTCATGGAGATCGTGGAGGCCAAACCGGAGCAAGTGCAACGCAAGAAAGATGATTTCGTAGAGAGTTTCATCAATGATAAAGATGACCAGAACATGTACACACTTTACGAAGGCGTGATGGGGAAGCGCAAACTCTTCAGCCAGCCCATCCTAGACGTCTACATGAAGCATTCGCAGGGTGACCAGCGCGTCATGGAAAACCTCTGCACTCGACTCGCGTACCTGTTCTGCATCGGCTTCATCGCTCTGATGGGCTACTACGGCATCCTGGGGGATGATTTGGAATCCCGAAACGAAGAGTGGGAAGAGAATATGAGAAACGTGCAGGAGAAAATGCAGGAGGTGCTGAGGAGATGCAAGTAAAAGCTTTCTGCACGACCGACGAAGTTGCCTTTGTGCTTTTCCTCTTACACTAATAGATTTCATCGACCTGCAGCTTTATCTCCCCGATGACCGCAGATCATGCTGAAGTGTACACAGTCATTTCCTGTGATCTAGTTCTTTTCATTTCTTTTTATCACACAATCACATTCCTTCATGCCTTGCCTCAGTTTAACACTACATGTACAAGATATGTCACACTAATCTAAAGAATGCTGGTTGTGGTTATATAAATATTATTAAAGCTCATAAGCAGTGTCACCTTGAAAATTGACTTCATGATGAACAACTTGTTTCCTGAATAAATACATAGTATATACAAATGTATTCTATAAAATACATATATAATGTAAAGAAACTATGTATCTATCTATATATTCATAAATGTTGCAAAATAAAGAGCATACAATTTACTGTCTGTGCAAACCAAGATCAAAATTTCGATCTGAAACGTTCATGTTTATGCATCTTTTTGGCACATTAGTAATAGATTTAAGTGTGCATTTAATTGTATCCTGTGTTTTTTTGTGCCATTAGAACACATATACTGTGTGTTTGTTCATCCATAATCACATTTGTTTATCCATAAAGCACTGCAATATACATAAATGTACCTGAATTATGTGTTTGTGTGCTTTTTGAATGTCTCATGGATTGGAACCATGGATTGGCTTTCCTAATCATTATTAAAATACCTTTTTATTTTTTATTATTCAGTCTTTGGAATGCTGCTGCACTTATAACGCTGTACAATATTGTTAAATTTTTCAATAAAGATGAATAAACAAGGAATGAAAACTATTACAAGTTGTTTTGACTTACACTCAAATTCATTATATACAGTATATTTAATACAATTAATCAGAAATGTAATCACATATATATATATATATTATTTAAATATATATTTACCATATAAATATAATATTAAGAAATAGAATAGAATATAATGTTAAAAGCTTACATTTTGACGTAAACAGTAGGTGGAGGGACCTTTGAAGGAGCTTTTTTTCTTGTTAGATGTTCCTCTGCCACTAGATGGCAGTAAAAGATCATAAACTGAGTTTAGACCTAAAACTATAAAAACAAGCATACTGCTACTGCTTAATGCATATTGTGTGTATAGCACCTACTATATTATTAATATATGTAAAAACAGCATGTACTATGCAGCTATAATCAGTTTAAACTGCCATATGATCTTACTACGTTATCATTTGACAAATAAATCTGGTTATATTGCATTTTTAAATGTATTTCATTCATTTTGTGTAAAAAAAAAAAAAACTGCATATACTGTTATGACTGTATATTTGAAGTAGGCTATCTATGCATCAAATGCAGCAGACACGAAAGGCTATAGGCTACAAATGAATTTCAGACTTTTGAAACTTTTGAAAAGAACTCTGGTAAAACATCTACTATGCTATATAAAAATTGAATTTTTTTTTTTGCCTACACAACAGAATTTAATCAGGTTAGACGCCACATCGAATGTTAACGCGAATGTAAACAAGCCTGTGAGGGATCGTCTTTACAATGGCATACACTGTATAAAAAGACTAAATCATGTCATTTTCACAACTTTCATAACTATTTTAAGTTTTTTTTTTTTTTGTCTACTGCCTTTTCCAGAAAGACGTTACTTACAATCATGTCGTTAAATAAGAGAACAATCAATGGTGTAGTTACAGCACCTACCAGCAGGGGCTATCTGGACCACGTGCAAAGCTGTCTTTGAACGGTCCAAATCGATGATCTTTCACACAAGTAATACATTTTCCTCCCAAAATATTCAGGATTAAACATAAGTAGTATGGGAGATATTACTAGGCTACTTTATCTTTAAACACTTAAATTTCATTTAAGAGAACATAAACATGAATGAGTTGTACTTTACCCCTTGTGGCATCACAGAAGACAGATTTCGAGTCTTGCTCTGCGACATTTCACGCCATCAGCCAGAAACATTTGCAAAGACTCTTACGTGAAGTCGGAGAGGCATTCATATGGACACGATTCTGAAAGAAAGAAAGATGTTAAGGCTTTTCTGGAGAAGTTGTGATCCACAAAAAATTCAAGAAACAGCCAAAATGGAAAAGAAAACAGCAATGCTTTAGCATTTTACTTGAGGAAAATTAAAGTGCAGGCCTAATTAATGAATTTGGGAGATGACAGATAGATAGATAGATAGATAGATAACCTATAGCAGTTTGTCAAAAAAATACGCTTTCAATTCAATTGAATGTATACCAGTTTGGTTTTATTGTGTTGATTAAATTATTATTGTGTGATTTTTGTTCGGTGGACAGAAATTACAAAAATGTCTTAATATTAGAGGGTTTATGTGATTAAAAGAAAAAAATGGGTGGGAAAATAGTTTATTTTAAACGTTAGACTCAAAACATAGTAACTGAAATATGAAAACTTCGCCGTATGACAATGCTCTCCCCAATAAAATAATCAGAATCAGAATATGACGTAACCTAATGGGCCTACAGAATATTTAAAGTAGTCCTTTCTTACGTGCCTTACGTACATCAGTAGACTATAAGCCTGAAAAAGATTCAAATGCAGACACCTCCTCTGTCCTCTGTGGAGTCTCATGGGAGTAAGTCATCATGTTCAGCAGTGTCAGCCGTCTATGACGCATTCAGACACAAGGTCACACCTGACTTATTTTCAAACGCTTATTTGTAGATTGTTAGAAAAGAAATGTATATCCACCACTTGATTTGCAAATGTGTACAATGATGCATGTGACTTCGTTCTCCTTCCCTTTTACCCGCGTATGATTTCATAATATTTGCATTTGAACCCTCCATAATCATCACACGCTCAGAGAAGAGAACATTAAGCACACAATAGCTACTAATAAGATTTTTCCCCTGGATGAAGGCGGTATATAGTATGATATTTTTATATAACATAACATAATACAATATCAAACTCGTTAAGCACTTATATACATCAGTAGTGTGTAAAATACCTGCCATCCCTGTGTGGAAAATATCTGCGCATGTTTCTTGTGATCCACCGGAGCTGCTCCATGTTGCGCATTGCGCGCAAAATTCCTCTTGGATGAACAAACATTACGCGCCATTTCTCTCTAAAAATCAGTTCAGAACATTTCTATCTGTTGTCATTTTATGAATAAAGCGCAAGGTACAGCCAAGCACGTAAAAAAAAAATAGACATCTCTCCCACTGTTGCCAAGTGCTTTCCAAACCCAAATCATCCTAACGCATTCTCAGCGCGCGCAACTGCCTCTCTGTCGCGAGCGCACACTGCCTCTCTGTTCATTTCACACACACTCAGATCATCACAAATATCCTCCTCGAGCCAATACCTGAGGGAAACCTGAATTTCGGACAGCAGCTCTTCTACCTGCCAGACGTGAGAAACCTGTTCGAAATATTTTCTGCTGGGGTAAATTGCTGTGATGCGCATGTAGGGTACTTATGAGGGCGACTGCGCTTTAAAACGCTTTTCGAGGTGTGTCCTTTACGGAACAGAAGATGGCACATACAGTGGTGCCATATCTACGTAACACAATTTTAAGCTCAAGTCGTTTTAATTCTGCTCTGAATGTGATTATTTCGAGGTTTGCAATGTGCCCGGACTTGGTTTAACATGATTTTTTTTTCTCATTAACATGCATGCGGATTTAAAATGGAAGAAAATTATGATGGCACAGTTGGCTATAGTGTAAAATTAGCAACGTGAGGAGTTTCATGCATGCTTAATGCGTTCGGCTGTGATGAAAACACGTAGGTCTATAATTTAGGTTTTTAAAAAAGTATGAGAAAAAATCTAACATTTTACATCAAAAATATTATTATAATATATCTGACCGAATGCACTTGAGATTTTTTGTATGTTTTACCTGTATTATCTGAGAAAAGGTTTTCTGAGATTTATTTACAACTACAGTGTCTCAACAATGAGACTATAAAACAAATGGAGACGTTCAGTTTTCTTAGGCAAAAATTATTCCATGTTTATGAAAGAACAATCTGCAATTTGCAACTTTTATTTTACATTATGCACTTTGAATTAAAACAGAGCAATTGTGCAAAAATAATTTGTATCTTCTTTTAATACTACCAGAAACGAAGGCATTTATTTTTGTTTGTTTTTAGAAATGTCCAGTCCACTAGAGCGGGTTGTAGCCCAGAAGAAGGAGGCCATTGAAGCCGTAATGGAGATGTTTGAGAGAGGAGCCGAGGTGCTGGCCAGCGCTGTTGGGGAGCTGTGTCCTCTTTTTGAAGCTTCTGCTCCAGTTTTGAGGCTGGTCTTGGACAATGTGGAAAGCAAGGAGATCACATATGTCAAAGATCAGTTTCTAGTTGTGAGAAGCAAATTAGATGTCTTCTCATCTCAAGTAGAGGACATCAACTGTGAGATTAAAAAGGGACGGTTGGATTCTCAGTTCTTCACTGTGGAGGAAAATATATGCAACCAGTTTAGAAAATACATAGACATTCTGGAGGCCAAACCTGAGTACAAAGAGGTTAGAAAACGCTTGTTCTTGCAGCATTTTCCCAAAACAGGAGAGAAGAACCTCTACATGCTTTACGATGCTGTGATGGGGAACAGCACATTTGGGGAACCGATCCTGGATGTTGTGGAACAATACGAGGCCAGAAACAGAAGGGTCCTGGAAGACTTCTGCGTCAGACTGAAGGAGCTGCTCTGCTTGGGAATCATCGCTCTGCTGGGATATTGTTTCCTTACTCAGGGTGAGGAATCAGAGCAGGAGAAGATTCGAGAGTGGAGCACGAAGATCCAAGAAATTGAGACGAAAATGAAGGAAATGATAGAGAAATGTGTGGATTTTTTTCCAGAACAAGCTGAACTGGACATCAAGAGGCTTGTGAAGGAGAAAGAAAACGGGAACCTTCAGGAAACGGCCAAGGAACTGCTGGACTTCCTGGTGAAGAAGTACGACTGGGTGAGCTGGTCCATCAGAGTCATTAGTAACTTGGGCAAAATTAGCAACTTGAGAGCCGGACAAAACTTTCAGTGTGTGGCCGGACAGAATTATTTTGAAGTATCTCAAGGAAATGACACCAACCTGGTGGTCTCGTTCAGCAGCGACCCTCAGCCTGTGCCCAACGAGAGCGTAAAGCAGATGATGGAAGGCCCTGCGAGGAAGGGAGACGCCAAAGCTGTTGTGGAGCTTCTGGAGAAGCAGTTAGCTGGGTTTCTGGTTCACGCCGTCAGTCGTCACAAGGACAGCTTTGCTCTGTCAAGCTTTCCTGAAGAATGTCACTACTGGGAGAAACATAAGAACGTGAATCTCTGTGTGCATTCAGAGTAGATTTAGATAAAAATCTACTATAACTGCATTTTACTGTATCCATGATCTATGTCTTGAAAAAACAGTATTTATTCAGCTTATTGTCTCTAACAAATAGTTCGTGCATTTATTGTAATTCCTCTTTTCGTTGTTCTAAACTAAAACCAAAGTGATCTTGTTCAGACTAACCAGTTTAATTAACCAGCCCATCTGTGTATGCACTTTTATGAGCAATTATAATATTATTTTATGTTACAAAGTTTCATGTATCTGTCTAAAATCATGCCTTGAGAACCAAGAATTCTCAACCAGGGATCCGGGGCCCACTGGGGCGGGTTTTTATTTCCAGTTAGTAGCTAATTTTAGTGCTTCAATTTTTTTTTATTTACTTGCTAAGGCAAGATTTCTCATTTTCATTTATTTAAAGTTATTCATCTGATATTTATTTTTATTTCCGCTTTATTTCAATGAACAAAAATGTTTTTAATAGTTTTAGTTAACGATAATAACCCTGGTCTACAACCAAAGTGACATGACAAACTGGATAAAACATGCTCGATCGAACATAAAGCACAAGCAGCCTCACAGCACAAAGACTGGAGAGCGCTGGTGTTCACTGTTAATCAGAGTTTTGTGTTTCATATTAATACAGTACATTGTACACTATTTGTAAGGATTTTTTAGAGAGTAGTTTTATATTTAGAATTTTATTTTATTTTTATATTTCTTGTTATTACTTAAATTTTAGTTACAGTTTTAGTCATTTTGTTGTGTGTTTTTATCATTATGTACATTTTTGGTTTTAAAACAATTTATATTCTATAATAGTACTTATATAGTAATATGTTATATAGTATGTTTTATATATGTGACCCTGGAGCACAAAAGCAGTCTTAAGTCGCTGGGGTATATTTGTAGCAATAGCCAAAAATACATTGTATGGGTCAAAATGATAGATTTTTCTTTTATGACAAAAATCATTAGGATATTAAGTAATGATCATGTTCCATGAAGATATTTTGTAAATTTCCTACTGTAAATATATCAAAACTTAATTTTTGATTAGTAATATGCATTGCTAAGAACTTCATTTGGACAACTTTAAAGGTGATTTTCTCAATATTTTGATTTTTCTGCACCCTCAGATTCCAGATTTTCAAATAGTTGTATCTCGGCCAAATATTGTCCTATCCTAACAAACCATACATCAGTCGAAAGCTTATTTATTCACCTTTCAGATGTTTGTTTTTGAGATGTTGTGTATAAATCTCAATTTCAAAAAATTGTTTTGTGGTCCAGGGTCACATATTACTTTTAGTTCATTTAGTTTGAGTTATTTTAGTACTTCAACTTAAATTAAATGAAAATGAGAAGTTCTGTATTGGCAACCAGCTCAAATAAAATCATTTTAATCTCTTACTTTTTCAGTCCTTGTCTGTGTCTTTACGGTCATCTGATTGCAGGGTTTCCACTTTGGAACAGCCATTTACACTTGATTTGATTAATTTTACGAGTAATCTTATTCAATATGGAGAGAATCATTTTCGAACAATAGCAGCAGAGAATCAAGAGTCCTACTTGACAAACTGCTCTTATACAGTGTTGTCTATCAAAATAATAGGAAAAGGAAGACATCTCTCAGTACTCTGTCTATGCAGTCTGTGTCGTAGTGCTGCCAACCACTTCCTCATCATGTCTGTGTTTTGGTGCACAAGTAAGAAAACAGGAACTATAAGTTTTAGGAACTGGCTATATACATTTTGTATTACTCCATCTTTAGAGGAACATACATTACCATCAATGCCACTGTAACGTCTAAAGCAGGTCTACATCCTTTCACAGTGTGAATGATCACATGACAACTGGAGTCCTGCAGCATCCCGGACAGCACCTACACTTAGGTGGATGGATGAATGGATAGATTTGATGTCTGGATAGATAGACAGAATAGACAGACAGACAGACAGACAACTGGAGTCCTGCAGTCCTCCGGACAGCACCTCCGCTTAGACGGATAGATGGATGGATGGATGTATTGATTGGATAGATGGATAGATAGAAAGAACAGACAGACAGACAGACAGACAGACAGATAGATAGATAGATAGATAGATAGATAGATAGATAGATAGTTTCCATTGAACAGTATATCCATATTCATGACATTTCATTAATAAGCAAATTGATTGCATCAAGAAAATTTGAAGGTCAATGAATGAGCAAATCTGTTTCATTTACCAGAACCCTGTACGATAATGGTATAGTCCATCACTGTACACCCCTCCACACTGAGCTCAGATGAAACTGCCCATCCTGCAGTGGCTGCTGGGAAGACGCGCAGTCCAGGGAGGTGGCAAACTGAAAGGGTAAGAATAGAAATATTCCTCACAGGCAACTAGATAATGCTAGTCAGGCAAATGCCAATGGGCAGATTTTTTAGGCATTGTTTGTTAAAATTTGAGAATGGCAGAAATGATTCTCAGCATGAACAATGAAATATGATGCAGCATCTAGGGGGAGCTATAACAGACAGACAGCATCTGACTGAAGTCATCTACTCTAGATGGGATGAAGACCCTTTCAAATACTCACATTGCTTGAGAAAACACAGGGAGATGTTGTATTGATGTGTTTTTGGCTTGATAAAGTTGTAAATGTTCTGTCTTGATCCCAAAGCTGCAAACAAACATCCAGCACTCTGTAAAATGAGAAGGCTTTGTATAAGAAAAATTGACATGAAATACAGGAAGGATATTAAAAAAAAAATTTTTTGACTTCAGTCCTAAATCTCACAATAAAGTGTTGTTTAATCATAGCCTGTAAAGTGATGTAAGATCTTTTTTATATTCAAGTTAAGGTCTGAAGCTGGTCATTTTTGTAAATAGTTTTCAGTATTTAACATCTATATGTTTTGTAGATATAAGCATGATTATGATTCATGTGCATTTATACAACACAACAACAACAACAACAAATAACAACAAAATCAAAAAAAAAATGCACAGTTCAAAATTTCACCATTTAAATTGTTTTGTTGTTGTTGTTGTTTTTAATGATTGAGGTCAGAATTGTTCAGTTATGGCCATGGATTATACAACTCATGATCTATACTTTAAATGAGTGTATATCATTGAATTGTACTTCATCTCAGTTCAGATCTTGAAAATACAGAAGCAACATCACAAGAAAACAAATTGCCTTTTGAAGTCATTTCAAAGTAGGAGCTAATTTTAGCAAATTAAAGGTGATATTAAAAGAACATTTCAATTAAATTACAATTCAATGAAAATAATAAATAAATAAAATAAAAACATTTGCCACTATTTTCTGACCTTTGTGTCATTCCAATATGCATTACTGTTTCTGCAGTTGGTATTTATTTTTCTGTGGAACATTAAAAGAATTTAAGAATTCTTCAGATCTTTTCACATCCATTCTCAAAAAAGGAAAAAAAGTTCAAAGTGGTCCATAAGAAGTCCAAAAGTTCTACACGTGTGTTCCGGACAGGCTGTCAGTCTTTGCATAAGTGGCAGGAAATTTTCAGTGACTCATTCTGCAAGTAATACGTCAGTAGGTGGTGACAAGTGAATCATTCAGTCAACCGATTCATTCAAAACGCGGATTAATTCAAAAAGGAAACAAACGACCGTCCTCAACAGTGAGACATTGAATGAGTCACTTAAATGATTCATTCAAAAATGCTAATTTACGAACGAAACGTGTGAATTTTTTGAGCGAATCACTGAAGCATTCCGCCAAAAGATTTATTCAAAAACTATGATTCATTCTGGAGCTAAACGAGCTGCTGTCTTTATGAGTGAGTCATAGAATCTGAATCTGATTTGTTCAAAACGCTGATTCATTTACGAAGTAAACAAGTGAATGATTAATTCAATCGATTTGTTCAAAACACTTACTTAGCAGCAATGAAACAGGTGTCTATTTTTATTCAGCCGATTCGTTCAGTCAGGAATGAACCAAACGTGTGAATTTTGTGAGTGAATCACTGAATCATTCCGCCAAACGATTCGTTAAAAACAATGATTTATTCTGGAACTAAACAAGCGACGGTCTTTATGAGTGAGTCATAGAATCATACATTCAATCGATTTGTTCAAAAACACTTGGCATGTCAGAATGAAACACCACCCACTGAGTGCAGCACAAGAGATGCCAACCGCCTAAAAAATCTTAAAATTAATGAATAAATAAATATAAATAAATTGCCGCATTTTAAGGGATAATATTGTGTGCCTTTGTATCTTCAGTTTCTTCTTCAGGTAAACATCACTGGGAAGGGCTCTTCCTCCGGACACAATGGCTGCAAATGAGAACTTAGAAGATCAAGACAAGCTGAAGAGGGGTCTAGTGAAGGTTCTGGAATGCGTGGCCACCATCTCGTCTGCAGCAGCGGTGGTCAATCCCATCTTCGGCATGGCTGGTTCTCTCATCCGGGTGGTTCTACATCATGTGGATGACGAAGACGTTCAGAAACTCAAGCGTGAGTTTGGCAGCGTGACTCGAGCCCTGGATGAAATCTCACAGCAGAACCAGAATGTATTGCTTCAGATCAGGAAGGAGACTGTGGATGGCCTGTACTGTCGTGTAGAAGAAAACATTCGTAGTCAGTTCTCCAAATTCATGGACACTGTGGAGGTATCGGCAGCACACGAACAGCGCAAGAAAGAATTTGAAATGAGCTTTGTGATCAATCAGTGTGACCAGAACTTGTACACGCTGTACGGCGGTGTGATGGGCGAATCGAAGCTCTTCAGTCAGTCCATCCTAGAGGTCTACATGAAACATTCACAGGGCGACCAGCGTGTCATGGAAAACCTCTGCACTCGACTCACATACCTGTTCTGCATCGGCCTCATTGCTCTGATGAGTTACGCTGCCATCGTCGGGGATGATGAGGAAGCTCTGCGCATCGAGTGGGAAGAGAAAATGAAAGATGTGGCCAAAAAGATGTCAGAAGTGTTAAACAGTTATGAGTGATTCTACCTCATGTGACCTTTTCCACAACTTCTATTTTACCTATCTTTCTATGTTCTTTATCTATTTTACCTGTCATTTCCCTAGCAACTGCTGTCCATAGTTGTCTATCTATTCATCTAGTTGTCTGTCTCACTTAAAACAATGTAGCAGCGGCTTGCAACCACCCTGAACAACCTGTTAACCCATACTGTATTGTTTTGAAACAAAAGTTATATGGAACTGTAATAGACTGATGTTATTTTTTGAAAATGATGTACTCGTCTTTCTGTACAGTGCACTCAAACTGAATATGCCCAACCCAAAATTAAAATAATCATTTATCTTTATGCAAAATAATATTGCAAATCTCTAATTCTAATGCCATGTAGCCTTGAAATACGTTTCTCATGAATCTCTATCTCTCTAGAATGTAATTGGTATATTTATATTTGCCACTGTCTAATGTACTCTGCAGTATTATGAATAAACAAAGATATGAGGAATTCACATACTCTTGATTTCATTTCAAGATATGCAGTTTAAGTCGGCCACACAGTGAGCAATAGTGTCTAATAGTGTCATCATAGTGTTTTGTCCAATATGTTTATACGGAGTGACAGTTTACAGGCGATATGTTTAGCAGGTGGTATAAATTACATAGGTAAATACGCTTTATTACTAAACATAATGAAATGCAATACATCTATTTGTCTTAAAAATATTGTATTTATACACAGTATATTACTTTCACTAGTAGCAGTCAAGTAGTTTTTGGAATTGAGGAAAAATATGACACTTCCCATAATTTACTGAAGTAGCTATATTTTGTCACAATTTTAATTATTAAATTTATTTATATCATTTAAATTATATAAATTATAAATAAATTATAAAAAGGTATTATATAATTTAGCTGTTTTTGTATGCATACCTGATGAAACGTCACGCATATGAAGATTTTTGAGTGTGTGCAACTACTCATCCTGACACTAGATGTCCCAGATAATATACAAGATTTATACACACTCTACAAACAAATACATTGTGATCGAGCTAATAATAATGGCAGTTTCTTTTTTATTATGAAGGAGAAAATAATCTATTGTAAATTAAGAAATTCAGATGTTCACTTTACCTATTGTGACTCTCTGTCGGACAACTCTTCAGCCAAATCCTGAAACATAGCTGGCCAGAGAGAGAATCCTTACAGCTGGATACACATGACTATAAGAAATAATAGATAAGAAAAAAAAAATTCTAGGACAATGTGCCAAGGCGTGGAAACGCCATTAATGCATTACATTCAATGTCACTGTTCTTCTTCTAAGTACCAGAGACCAGGGCAAGTTGTCGTAAAGGCTTTATATAATGATATAAGTCATAATACTGAGTAAAAATCAATTGGACACCTGCTTTTCTCTAGCAGTGGTTATCTGTTTTAAAACGCTAAGCTCTAAAATTAGGACATTTAATCAAAATTAAAATTACAATATCATCATAAGGTTTTTTTGGATAAACAAGCTGCCAAACATAAAAGCCACGCTGAAATACACTCAGTAATGAAGCTAGGCTGTTCTCAAGGTCAGTTTTCACGTTGGGGCAAGTTGTCACATTGATAGTCTCTTTATCTCTTGCTCTTGCTCTTGCTTGCTTATAAAAAAAAATATTTGTATACAGTATAATTTTATACAACCACTTTTGTTGGTCAAAACAATTTCATGAATTGAGTGGAGAGCAAAATCAAATCAGCATCAAAAAACAGCAGGATCATATTGTGACAACTTACCCCATAAACTCTGCCAGATGCGCGATTTTTTTCCTGGACAATTATGATCGAAACGTCAACATTTTTATAAAGTGTTTCTATAAAACATTATTTTGAATAACAACCGTATATCCTAAAAAATAACCCTTAAGCTATCCATTATCACTCTTACGCACAATCTATTAGACACACGAGTATCGTGTTATGTGTCACATATAATAAATGTAATACTATATAATAGTAGGCTATAATATTATACTATCTAGTATACAATATGTGATATAAATAATCTGTGATATATATACCTTCTTTGGGATATTGAGATGCGAAAACCCCAAATCTGCGCACATTCACGTTAATCCAGTGGCGCGTGAGAGGTTGCGCACGACGCAAAATAAACTGCAATTAAACAGTCTCGTGTAAAAACTGATCTCTGAGCCGCACATCACAGATCCATCTGTAAACAAACTATAAAAATATACCGCAGTCAAATATGAAACATTGATCCGACAGTTACCAACAGCTTTCCAAAACCACCCCAAACCTATCAGTGCGCGCAACTCTCTCTCCCTCTCTCTCTCTCACACACTCACTCACTCACTCACGCACACGCACATCTTTTCCACACTGAGCATATGATCACGACATTTTGCCTTGAAGTCGAACCTGAAACTGTGGGAATAATTTGGAAACTTGGAGGTCATTCCAGCAGCTCTTCATCCTGAGAGGCGTGAGAAACCTGTTTTACATGTATTTTTGCTAGGGATGATGATGTGATGTCAAGGATGCGCATAATTAGGACACATTCATGTGAGGCAGACTGCATTAGAGCTTTAGACAGACTAGCAAGGTGTGTCCTGAACTCTGAACGCATATATGTAGTAGCCTAAATGATTCATTATGTGTTTTATTGAACATTATTTTAAAATCATGTATTATTATTTAAACTCCAGTTATTTATCCTTATTGTGAATGGTTGATCTTTAAAAGCCACATTAACCATTTAAGGGTGATGTTAGATTCAAACCTTAAACCTTTTCTCATAATTATTAATGACTGTCTATTGTATATGTCATTGTGGTTTTAATTTATGATAACACCTACAGTATACCTACGATAGATAGATAGATAGATAGATATGCATTAAAAGGGTTCATTGGGCCTTTTTTAAAATGTCTTTCGACACTGCGTGATGTTAGATTCAAACCTTAAACCTTTTCTCATAATTATTAATGACTGTCTATTGTATATGTCATTGTGGTTTTAATTTATGATAACACCTACAGTATACCTACGATAGATAGATAGATAGATAGATAGATATGCATTAAAAGGGTTCATTGGGCCTTTTTTAAAATGTCTTTCGACAATGCAGTCCCATAATTTAAAATAGAATATAAATCATTTAAAATAGAAAACTAAACAAAATAATTTGTCTGCATACTTGACAGGTTTTTTTAACACTTTTTCTATCCAACTCAATTAAATCACATGACCTTTTGCATTTAGGTGAACACAAACCAAAATAAATAGAATCATTTAATGTATCTGATTCAGTGAATTATGAAGACAAATATAGCCTAAATGATTCATTATTTAAATAATACAACATTATTTTATTTTTGAACATTTATTTTTACTAATGAATGCAGTAAAGAGTCCATTTGCCTATTTTAAATGTCTCGGTTCAATCATTTAATTTGAAGAAGAAAGCTGAACAAAAACTTGACTAGCAACCTCTATAAAAAACTTGACTTTTTGCATTTATGCGAGCATAAAACAACAAAAATCAAATCATTTATATTTGTAATGTACCTAATTCAGTGCATTTTGAAATCAAAAAGAACCAAATTTACATACATGATGCAAATCAGTTATGAAAACTAGTGGGTTGTAAGAAAAAATATATTGTATCACATGCTTATAACTACATCACTGTTGTGTTTTCTTAAAATATGTTTAAAACATACTTAAATATATTTTAATGCAAATTGCATACATCATTTAAAAATTTACCTTAAGTGTATTATAAATCAAATTACTGTGGCTTTTCTTTTTGTGTGTTGTGGTTTTGCTTTTAAAGAAATGTCCAGTCCACTAGAGCGGGTTGTAGCCCAGAAGAAGGAGGCCATTGAAGCAGTAATGGAGATGTTTGAGAGAGGAGCCGAGGTGCTGGCCAGCGCTGTTGGGGAGCTGTGTCCTCTTTTTGAAGCTTCTGCTCCAGTTTTGAGGCTGGTCTTGGACAATGTGGAAAGCAAGGAGATCACATATGTCAAAGATCAGTTTCTAGTTGTGAGAAGCAAATTAGATGTCCTCTCATGTCAGTTACAGGACATTGACTCTGAGATCAGGCACGCCGTCAGTCGTCACAAGGACAGCTTTGCTCTGTCAAGCTTTCCTGAAGAATGTCACTACTGGGAGAAACATAAGAACGTGAATCTCTGTGTGCATTCAGAGTAGATTTAGACATAAACATATAATTACTATTATTATATTGCTAACATTTTGCAACTGCAGCACTTTTACTTTATTCATGCCTTGAAAAACTCATTGTTCACTCAAAGTCATTGTTATATGTTCATTGTAAGGTTGCCATCACCTGTCCGACTGTACATTTAAAAAATTATTATTTTAACAATTTCTTTTACTCTACGAAATCAATGCATTTGTACATTTTAAAGGAATAGTTTACCTAAAAATTCAGCACACTTCGTGGAAAAAAGGGTATTTGTTTAGAACTATCTTGGACTGGTTTTGCTTGTAAACGGTGCTTGATCTGTGCATACTTCTCTCCTGATTAAGACCAGATGACTTTTTCACCAGAGAAAGCAATATTATTGATAGTGGACTTGTATTTTAGCTGGAAGCAATGGTTTGAAGTTAAAAAGGCCTTAATAATGGATTTGTTTCTTACAAACACGCGGCTTTTGGCTTTACAGGACGATGTTAATTGATGGACTGGAGTGGTGTGGATTATTGTGATGTTTTTATCAGCTATTCGGACTCTCATTCTGACGGCACCCATTCACTGCAGGGGATCCATTGGCAAGCAAGTGTTGTAATGCTAAATTTCTCAAAATCTGTTCAGATGAAGAAACAAACTCATCTACATATTGGATGGCCTGAGGGTGAGCACATTTTCAGCAAATTTTCATCTTTGGGTGAACTATTCCTATAACATATTAAGCACCATGTAAATTCAACTGCCATATTTTCAAACAAAATATGTTGACTATTTGTGCTTTATTACTGTGCATGTTTGCATCAAAATGTTATAATATAACTGAATGTCTATCTGAAAACATTCCCTTTAAATGCAGTAGGCAGCAAACATGTAAAATGTTGTGATGTTATGTAAACAAATAAAAACTGAAGCAATGCGACTGGACAGTACTGCAAAGAAAAGTGTTTCCCCATTTAGCCTGCATGATAATAACATGAGCTGACAGTATCTGTTCCTCATCAGCCA